TCATCATCAGAGAGCCAATGCAAGATGTCGATACAGTCTGCGGTGGCAGAATCACCCTCTGTGAATGATTTATGAGCAGAAACACTAGACCACACAGAATTAGAGCAGCTAGAATAGAGTTCAGCACTGGTCACTGGCCATTTGTTGTTTGGGTCTTGTTTGATGTGATTGTACTGTGATGATAACTAGACTAATGCATGACTCAAAGACAAAACTGATTATGGTGCCATTATGCTCTCTGCCCACGTTAGGCAGTCATGTATCATTGCCAGGTTTCAACTGGTTGTTTCAACTTGAGAGATCACATGGTTCTGTATGAATAGAGGAAACTATTCCACATTCAGGCCAGTTGAGATACATGTATAGTCTACATCTCAACAGTTTAGTGCCATTAGTGCTACAATAACCATTGTCATTAATATATATGGAGCATTATGAGGTCAGAAAATCACCTTTGGCTCAGTTGATCAAAGAGCAATTTATATACTGGCTCTATCCTGAATCCAATCTGTGCTGGAGCCGTTCTCTCACACTGAACTGTATTAAAGAAAGAAAAATCTTTAAAGATGATGATGGGTTGTATTTTTTTTTTTTACCAAACATTCAATTCTATTCACCCTCTCTCAGTCCTGTGACATTTCTAAATCCCCTGGCAGTAATCTTACAAGATGCTGTTATGAACAGGAGGGGTGAATTTATAATCAGTCTGTAAATCATTCATGGCCAATGATCCTGCAGTGGCAGCCACAGAATTACATCTGATAGACTGTACATCTCCATTCACACCAGAAATGCTGAACGGCTGCCAATAACAGGCTCACAATGTGTTGAGTAAATCACAGATATCCAATGGAAACTGATTCACTGTAGTAATTTACTGCAGCCCATAATCAGCTGGAAAAGTTTGTACATCTGTTGTTTTAAACCCTTTCATGAGAAGTCCTCATGTGTAGGCGAGTTGATGCATTTTATATTTCTAGTTTGTTTTGTTGATAAAAAAAAAATAAGAGGCTTTGTGCAGTTAGCATATAAGCAGCCTAGCTGAATGGGGACAAAATCAAACTGACAGTAAGGTAAAAGATGTCACAGCACTGTGTACACTGTGTGGTATTTGGAGAAAAATCTAATTAAAAATACAATTATTGTTAAGCAACTACAATGTTGTAATGGAACATTTATATACATGTGAAATTTCTATGAGTTGTCAAAGCAGGAAAAGCACATGTTACTAATAAAGTTAATGATGGCTGTGTTTATAAAAGTGTCTCAGTATGACAGTGAGCCACCCTGAAACTGAAGCAGCTAAATGGATTCAAGCCATCATTCATTTATTATTTACACCTGTGCTTTCCCTACTCTCGTGTCAAAATGTCTTCAGTGAAAACGGCCTATTTTGGTCAAATATTTTATACTGTGCAAACCAGAAGACATTTAAATGAGAGGTCCATGTCATATCGACTATTTTGTTACCCTTCTGAGCATAAACAGTAACAAAAGTAATTCTATACTCAGATTACACACTTATTAAGTATCCAATTCAACATGAAAATTTGAATCTGGAATGCTAAAATAGATCTTTGAATCATTAATGAACATGCAGGCCATCAATTGCTGCATATAAGGATATGGTAAAAGGCATTCATTAAATAATTAAGTGCTACACAAACAGCACCCATGTTGGCCCCTCACAAAGCCCTACATCAAGTCCTTCCATAACAGCCCTGTACAAAACACAAGGTAGTTTTTAGCCAATTCACAATACGGTGAAATACCTACATCAGCAACATTACAACTATCCCTGCAATGTTAATGCTGCTTGTCACTGGCAGCTCTTTGTAAAATGCAAAGTAACATTAATTAGGCCCACTGTCATGAGGACACGGAAACATATAACACACAGTAGTACCTGGATTTTTTATTTTATTCAACCCTGTCAGCAGAACATGGTGTATATATATATAAATATATATATATATATATATAGCCATTTCCTCAGAATTCTAGCAATAGCAGCAAGCACATGTGTGGTTTGAACACGCTAACCTCATGTTAGCTTACTGGTAAAATCACTTCAGTAAGAAATACCAATCCAGTAAGCACAAATGTTCCAAATTGAAATTCATGCATTAAAATATACAAGATTACATGTGCTTACATGTGTCTATCTGCTCTGCAGTCTGCTTGTCTGGGTGTAGAAGCGCTACCAGCCTGTGTGCCACTGTGGCTTTGACACAATGGGTGAATCTGCTTAAACTGGTTTCCAGGTTATTTAGCAAAGCAGATTCTTTCTCATGTATTAATCCAACCTTAGTATAACAAGAGTATTTACAGGATGGATGTTTTAATTCCGCTTCATTACTTGCTTCTTTGATGCCAGTCACTGAAACAACCAGCCATCCGACCTCTCATCAAGAATGTGAGTATAACTGAGGCGATGAGCAGTATACAGTCACCATGATGCCCCAAACACCCCACTGTTGTTTAGGCCTCAGTGGAAGACCGGAGGGAGGAAACCCAGCCGACCAACCAGCAAATACTTGTTAACAATGAGCATATTTTACTAATTATCTGTGAAAACACACCCTGATGTGCCTTTCATTGCTGTCCAATCTGGGTATTAGAGTGCATGATTTCCAGTCTGCTTTGCTGAGAGGAAAAAAGACGATAATAGAAACTTGCTGTCCTTGCAAGTTATCTTCAGTCCAGTAATTAGAAAGCAGTTGGTGTGTGTTGGTGGTTATAAAGACGAGCTGCATCAGCAGTGCCACTGCCACATTCTGCCTGCTGACAGGAGACAGATACAATTGTACTATATCTGCTTTCCTTTTATTTACTTGTTGCTGTATGTTTTGCACTTTCTAAACTAAGAAACATCTAATATAATATATAACATATAATTACCAGCCATTTAATTAATAATAATAATAATAATAATAATAATAATAATAATAATATGATCAAAACACCTTGCCTACTTGCTGGTTCTGCCTGTTTCTGTTAAGTTAAGCTAATGGCTGCTTGCAGTAGCTTTATTTAGATTTTCTGCACATACATGAGAGCGATATTGATCTTCTCACAGCAAGACATAAACCTATTTCCCAAAATGTCAAACTATTTATTTAAATGTGTCTTTACCTAATGTCTTTACACTATAATTTTTTACACCAAAACAAAGTTCCACAATCATCATTACTGCATATTTCTAATCACTTCCACGTGTTTTATCACTTTATCAGCTGTGTGGGTGTTTCCCTTCGGCAGCAGGGTTGTCAGGCTCAACTGATTATTTTGAATCCCCCTGTGAGAGTCAGAGAGGAATTTTTTTCTCCTGCAAGTAAAATGAGTCTCATGTGGCTCGCTTTATCTGGAATAACAAGTTTCTCCTCAGCTCTCCCTCCCTGCAGGGTACAGTAGATGGCCTATATATGATGATATCAAATCACAGACCTCCTGCTGACACTGCTGGATCTCGCCTGGGGTTTTTCAAAAGTATGGTCCCATACTCTTATCATTGTTTAAGACCATAAAATAAGGAAGAAAAAAAATGAATATCATCATCATCTTGACTTTAGAAAGCCTCATTATTGGATTAAAAATTCAGATTGGCATTTATCAGTTCTGTATCCTGGTTCCTGACCTCATTTTAACTATTTAAAATATAATCCTGTAATCAGAGGAAGATTGAAAAAAAGACTGAAAATTGAAAAAATTTCCCTCCCATAATCAGGCTTGAACATTTCCAGAAAACCAAATTGACTGAAATACTGAACAAACAAATAAATAAGATACAAAAACAAACCATTGACACATGTTCTTGTCCTCCTGTACCCAGTATCTTACAGTGGTGGAAAGTAACTAAGTACATTAAGTACAGTAACCTGCACACCAGTGGCTTCCACTCAAGGACTACAGATGACTAGCTCTGTCTGGTTCAATACATGTATTGTGCATTGTCCCTGCTAAATAAACATAATAATAGATAAGTGGGTTTGAGGTACTTTTTACTTCTCTACTACAACATCCCAGAGGGAAATACTCCACCACATCTACCTGACAGTTTTAGGTAATTGTTTTGATTAGATAATTAATGCAAAATGTAATCAACAAATAAATGATTGTACATTATTGTAGATTAAGCTACACAGCAGTGTAGTTAAAATTAACCCTACCTTTACCAGCTGCAACAGAGTGATGAACACATTAGTGTAATAATCCAGTAATATAATATATATTATTCTGAAATGGGACATTCTGCATAATGAGTACTTTTGACAATTTGATACTTTTATTTAAGAAAACCTTTAAATGCAGAACCTTTACTTGAAACAGATAAATTATATACTGAGTACTTCTTCCACCGCTGGTATCTTGACTATCTAATCTAATAATAATTTTATATATCATGAAAAAGCTTTTATTTCACTAAATACTAGTTTACTTGCTCAGATATAACGTATATTTCCACATGACACAGGGAAGTTATATCATTTATTCCTCAATTTTACTATAATTTATCTTGTTTATGTTCTATAAAGTTTATTTCCATTATGGTTTCTCAACTGAATACTGTACACATGCGTTCATTTATATTCCAGTATGTTACATTATGTTTGTGGGTTAACTTATTCAAAGTGTTTGGTTATCTTATTGTATCACAACTACTTTGAAAAAGGAAGGATTATGAAGGCCCAGCTATTAGAGGACATTAAAAAATAAAATATCAGTTATCCAGATTCAGTTCCACATAGAGGACAGAGGTTGATCAATCTTCTACCTCCATCTAGTGGTGAGCAGGGTAACGTACAGTGGCAGACAGAGACCACAGTGTACTGTTGGGGAACAGTTTGGATGATAAAGATCAAAGCATTTGCTTAACCAAAAGTGTTTTTATGTTGGGAGGCAGTTTGGCAAAGCAAACAGGAAGCAAACTATTCAAATGTTTACTCTGGTGCAGAGACTGATACTGAAAAGCAGATAAACTAAAGTTCGCATGCCATTTTCTTTCTGTCATCAAGAAATTGAGATTGTTATTTTCACTTCAGGAATGATGAGTGAGGAATGAGGAAGTGTCATTTACATTAGACTTTTTCTTACTCACTAAACAGTATGTGGACAATGGCCATTATGCTCAATCTCTGTTTAGTCCGGTGGAATACTTTTTTAAATGCACAGCACCACTATTAACACATTCCTTGTGTTTGTTTGTGTATTATGTATGCTTGTGTGACCATCTATATGTACAGTGCAAGACTGTGTCTTTGTGTGTACGTGTGTGTTTGTGTTCAAGCAGGACTCTGTGTTCCATTGTGAGCCTGAATGGGGACCATTTTCTCCTCTGCTCCACTGTTCTCTGCCTGTTCCCTCCTACTTGTTCTCATCCCATTCTCTTTTCTTTTCCTCTCATCACACCATCATGGTTGTTATGTAACGGTGGGAAAAGAAACACACACTGCTCGTCTGTCTGATGCTGCCCACAAGAGCAAATTATTATTCCTTTTCTGTGTGCAGTCATGTATAGAGTTCAGTCCTAACAGCAAGAAAAACTGGCACTTCTTTTCTTCTTTTTCTAAGGCCTCGTTGTGCTTCATTGAGATCAATCAACAGTCAAACACGTTTGTCTTTAGTCCATGAGATTTAGCTTATAATCAGCTTCATGAAGGTTTTCACACAAATATAAAAATCTATATTTGTTATTATCTAACGATGATATGAGGGTCAGAAATGAACATCTGTTCATCCTGACAAACCAACACAATTAAGACTAATTTAGTAACTTACAAACATGTAGGCCCCACACATGTACTCAGACAGACTGTCAACGTGGACCATACGCGTAATTCTTCGTCATGCTTGTGTTACTCTCTAAACAGGCAGCCAGTTAGCCAGCTGTATCAAACATATCAATGACTGACTACATAATTGATGAGAGAGATAATACATACTAGCTTAGCTGATGTCTCATAAACAGGGCTTGAAATGAACACCAGATATCCAAAGGCCAAATGTTATACAGAGAGAACCGTGGAGCTGAACATAACATTTTCTTTGACTAAGCTGACAACTGTGCACTATCAGAAATTATTTCTTGATGTGTTCAGACAGCCAGAAAAAGCCCAGGTTAGGATATAATGATGCAGATTGTTTAAAAAAAAATCATATATTCTCCATAATTTTTAGCAATCTTAAGTTCACCAACATTTCACCACCGTCAACTACTGACATCCACAAAGCGAGGTGCAAAGATGTGAATTCCAGTCATTCTCATCGTGTTCAGTTGATCTTGTTTAAGAGATAATAAAAGGACATCTGGAATATCACCAGGGTGTGGTGTGCACTGGCTACCCATGTTACATAATCCACCTGACTTTGTTGGCCCCAAAAATGTTCAATCATCATTGAAACAAACAGTTTCAAAACAGTAGTAAGATCAAAAAATGATAACTAAGATATGTGGCCCGTGTCATGCATACAGGCTTAACTTTAGATTTACCTCAGGACTATACATTTTTAATTCAGTAATTAAGAATAATAAAACAATATGAGCAAAACATATGTTGTAATGTATCACATGACGTCTCAGATTAAAAAAAACCCATAACAAAAAAAAAAACAAGAAACCATTTCAAACAACACGGGTAGTATTACATATTGGCTCCAATATCCTCTCAACGTGTATTGTTATTGGCCAAGTGATCCATGCGCTACACCTGATTGGCTGCGTACCACGCCTGTCATCCGTCTAGCCACGCCCCCAAAGCCAGCGACTTCCGCTTCTGTGTCAACCCTGGGCTACACTAAAGTCCTGCTCATATCTCTGGACCTGTCAAAACATCCACTGTGCACACACCGCCGAGGTAAGACGACAGACATTGCACTACTCTGTGTGTGGTCTCCTGTTGTGTTTTCAAGGGCGTAAATTTAGCTTCGTCTTCTGTGTACAAAGAAGGTTGCTAACTACGCTAGTTAGCCACCTTTTTTTTTTTTTTATGTTTTAGCCCGCCCGCTAACGTTAATGCTAGCTGTCAAAAAGCTCCCTGGCGTCCTGTCAGAGTCGGAGGACAAGCAGTACCACGTATGCGTATTCAGCTAAACTGTTTGCATTCAAAATGGTTCGCTGAAGTTAATTAAGTTCTAATATGGCAAGCTAGACCGATTGCTAATGTTAGCAAGCAAACAGTTGACGGTAGCGCATAAGTTAGCATTTGGGATGCGCTCTCCAAGCACTCCAGTTTGTGAAGTTGTCAGTGAAGATATCATGACCCACACACAGCTCGGCTTTAGGCAGATATTAGTGACTGATACTGTTATCATCGGACTCATTCTCGTGCGGGAGCAGAGTGCTGTGTGAAACCCCTCAGAGTCCCAGCAGATTTGTGAAGAAGCCGCTGGGCATCCAGCAGCAAGGCGTGTGTTCAAGTCCCCTCCTATCGCGTTTTACTGTCTCAGCAAACAGTGGGAATGTCCCTGCGCCTGTTGGGCTTCTCACTGCTCCATCTGCATGTAGATCTGACTCACAGGACAGACTAAACAAAGCTTTGTCTCCTGATGCTGGTGTCCTGCAGGTCAGTGTCAGATGCACTGACACGGCTCTTCCTGACAGACGTCCCTCAGAGATTGTGCTGCTGTATCAACTGACCTCTGATGGTGTTGATGCTGGGAGAAGTGCTTCCTCTGGGTCTGTTTAGATACATGCTGATATCCCGTTATTTAGTGTATTTAGTGTCAATGTTTTGATTGCCCCTAGGGAACATTGCATTACAATAAGTGATAAATGTGCAGACACATTTATGATACACGTGTAAGATATGAGGCGTAGTTACGCACTTACACACATTAAGAGGACATTGAATGTTTGTCTTTTGTAGATATTTCAGCAGCAGTTGTTGACAGACTAACAATGCGTTGAGTGCCCTAATTATTTTATTATATTATTATTATTTTCTTTTCACATTTGAAGTTAATAATTGAAGACAATTTCATAGGCATTATTTGAATAGAACAGCTTCAATACAACAACATTGCAGCTAAGACAAATTAAGTATTGGTAAACTTTTTTTTGTCATCTTTTATTTTTGATATTTTGTTGGCTAAATTATTTATTGATTTAATTGGAAAAAAAAAATATTTGCGGACCTTGGTAGTATACATGAAATCTCACAGAAAATGTGTGGGATGCTGTGTTCTACTTGAAAAAGGGATAAAAACTATTTTATACATGATACGAAACTTTTCTTTTCAATAACATTTAAAGATCTATTGATGGATGGATTTTTTTTGTCCAGTCCTAGAGAAATATTTCATTAACATGTTTCGTTGTAGTTTGAAATGATGTGCTGTCCACAGTAATGCACACCTGCTGGTTTTATTGCTACGAGACAGTTCTCTCTGGAATTACAGCTGTTGCCATTTTGTTATGCGTCTTCCTCCCTAAGGTGCCTTAATTACCCCCTCAGTTAGTTGCTATGGCGATGGTCTCCATTTGAGAGAAGAGCATCACACTGTAACAGCGGG